GGTCTGGGCCACTTCCCGGCGCGCGGACCCCGGAGCTGCTCCCCGAGCGGACGGCGGCTCGGGCGCCCCAGGTGACTTGGGACGGTGGGGCGGGCGCCCCAGGTGACGGGGTATGGCGGGGCGGGGAGAGGCCACTAGAGGTTTCTGTAACCCTCTGCTGACCACGAGCGACGCGCAAATGGTGGGATGGTGAGCGCGTCAGCCGGCCCGCAGCCCGCATCTCCCCATTGGGCGCCTGGGGGGAGTAGAAGGGATCCTGCGCGGTTTGGAGGCTCATCTGCACCATCAGATGAACCATCCCCAGTTATAGCTTTAGTGCAGGACTTGCTGTTTATGTTAAATCGTCACTAAAGAGTTATTTGCGAAAACTGAGATAAAAATAACTATATAGATATATATATATATATATATATATATATATATATATATATATCAGTAACGGTACATTGATGACACTGTAGACTGTGTCAGTAAAGGCGTTAAATACAGTGCAGTAATTTTTAAGTACCTATGTGTTCCTAAGTATAGGATTCAGGCAGCATAAATGTGTTTGCATAGAATGTGTGTTTTTCTACTCTATGTAAGTCATCTTGTCACCAGAAAGGGACTGGTTCTGGAATGGGTCTGCCCCTGCCATGGTCTGGAACGTGTGGGTTCTTGATTTCGTGTAGAACAGGAGTCCAGGTGATTTTGAGAGTGTGTTTTTTACAGCGTGGAGCAGAGAAACAAAAGAAAGGCTTAAGATAGACGAGGCAAGATCACAGCCGCAGGAGTGAGCCCAGCCTGGGCTGCGTGGACGCGGGGAACGCGTTACCCAGGCAACAGGAGAGCCCTTGGAGACAGGTGCAGAGCTGCTGCAGCCTGCTGCTCCCCTGGTTGCGCTTGGAGCTTAGGAGAAAAGGGAAGGGGGTGCAGGTGTGCTCAAGAGAGAGCACACACTGGGTCCTTCGTCTTAAGGGTTTTTATCTGTTTTCCAAAGGCCAGAGATTTAGGGGAGGTTTAACGAGAGGCTCTCAATGGAAGATTCAACAGCTTTTCTGGTGTGTCTTTTGATATATGCTGATGAATCAAAATGAGCCAATAGGGGAATGTGGGACCATTTCTCTGGTCAGCTTCACTGCTTTACTTTTATCTTGAATTTGTCCCTAATTGGGTTTTGGTATTTATCATTCCCCCCCCTCCCCCCCCCCCCCATGAAATTTAGTTGAAAGCCCTGCTTCTCCACTGGTTAACTTTGTGACTTTGGCGTGTTATTTAGCCTCTCCAGTCCTGATGAGGACACTAGTTCTCCTCAGTAATACCACTTACTTTATAGAATTGTGAATATTAAATGAAGTAAACTATATAAAACAAATTCCAATGTGCCTAACACATTCTAAGTGCACATTCACTTTGTTGTTTTATACTTATTCACTACAACTATTTTTTTCTTTTTTGTTTGTTTTTTCTCTGGTGTTCCCTTTCCTCTTCTCATTGCATCCTTTAAAGGAGTATTTTTACTCTTTTAAAGGGAATACAAGTAGGGTAAGTCTTTGTATATTTTTTAGACTCGTTCATTGGGTTTCAGAGAGAATGGAAGTTGGAGAAAGATCTGTATGTCTACTTTAAGTTTGTGGAGTAAAGTTAGAACACCATATTATACATATGCCATGGTGGTTGCTCAGAATTTTAATTGTTGATTCTAATATCCTGTCTCTTTTTGTTACATTAAAAAATATTCCGTTAGAATGCAGAACAGTTGATCTTTCAACAGATGAAGAGGATGGAGCATACGATGCCTCAGAAACTAAGGATGATCAGCGTTCATCTTCCGACAGCTCTAGCTCTCTGGAAGAAGAATTTTCATCAATAGGTTGGTAATTTTTGTGATTGTTGTTTAAGAACTTTATTTCTAATATCAGTATTTTCTGTACCATTGATCTTATTATTAATAACATAAACTGTAGTCAAGTATGGGGCAAGTAGGTCATTACTAATGATGGTCAAAGTTTCTGACCATTACATTTCCATTACATAACATGCCCAAGGTCAGACAGCTTATAAGAAGCACAGCTAAGATTCAAACCCAGTCACTGCCCCAGAGCCTATGTCCTTTTTTTAAAAACATGTTTTTTTATTGATTTCAGGAAGAGAGAGACAGAAACATCAATGATGAGAGAATCCTTAATCCACTGCCTCCTGCACGCCCCATGCTAGGGATCGAGCCGCATCCTGGGCATGTGCCCTGACTGGGAATCAAACCATGACCTCCTGGTTACATATTGGTTTCCAGTTATTGCCACGTACCAGAAGTAGCACTTTAGTAGCTACTGCTTCATAGCACTTTTTGTTTTTCTTAAGCACTGGTTATTTGAAATCTCTCTCTCTCTCTCTTTTTTTTTTCTGTTTAAAAAATTGGAACATTTCTGCATCTCCAGGAATTTCACCTTTTTGTAAATTTATTTTCAAAGGAATTTGGACCAGTTTGTGGGAAAGGTTAGAAAATAATTACTTGAGCCTCAATGACTTGACACCCCTCATTAATATTTTGAAGTGCTTGAAATGGTAAAAATTTCTCTTGCCATTTTGTTTACCTTAGTATTTTGCTGATGAAACCATTTCTTCCCACAGTGTAAAGATTAATTTCAGTTTAGATCATGCATGAAGAAACGTGTTTTGAATTTAAAGAGTCCAAATTAATAAGGTTTATACTGTATAAAATAAAGAAAAAATAAAACAAAGCTCTATTTAAAAATGTTACTTAAATATTTTTTCACCTGGTAAATGAACCTGATTATTTCCTGTGCACTTTTTAACATCTCACATTTATTCACATGGGAATCACCACTCTACCTTGAAGGCTAACTTGGCTCTGTGATGATTGTAGTATGTTTCTCACTTCCCTATATGCCTGGATGTCAAATGGAGAGGGGTGGATCATAGTATAGTGTCCCTGTTACTTTGTATGTCAAATTAGTCTATCACCAACTAACCTGTTTCTTCCTGGCTGAAGAAACAAGTACATGTTTAATTTATTTACAATACATGAACATTAAGGCTTTGTATTAGGTCTATTACCAACTAACCTCTTCAGTTGTAACTGACTGAGCAACTCATGCTAGGCCTCTCCCATCTCTACACTGACAATTCAGAGCTTCTGGAAATGAGAAATGGCTAGCCCTCAACAAAAGGTCAGCAACAGCACCTGATGACTAAACGAATTAAAAGATATATTGGCGTGGATTCAGTGTATTTTCGAATACTTCTTCATTTGGTTCATTTAAAGATAAATTTTAAAAATTAAATAAAAATTATTTAATTTCTGTCAAAATAGTTTTCTTCTATTACAGAAGTATACTGTCATTTACATTCATATCAAAATAGTGAAAAAAATTAGAAAACCAGTTTTTTTTTTTACTGTGAAGAATATTTATTTCTGTTGGTGTTTGGTTTTTAATATCCTCCTCTTTGTTTCTTTTAGTAAATATCCCTGATGCAGCTTTTATTCAGGCAGCCCGCAGAAAACGTGAATTGGCCAGGGCCCAAGAGGACTATATTTCTTTGGATGTAAAACATATTTCTACCATCGCTGATACGAAGAAAGATAGTGATGAAGATCCTGAGAGTGAGCCTGATGACCATGAAAAAAGAATACCATTTACCCTAAAGCCTCAAACACTTAGACAAAGAATGGCTGAAGAAACAAGTACATATTTAATTTATTTACAATATATGAGCATCAAGGCTTTTTATTAGGGTATAATATTATGATTAAAATCTCCATAAAAGCATAATGTAGTGTCTCATAGTCTAAAGCCGTGGTTGGCAAACCGTGGCTGGTGAGCCACATGTGGCTCTTTGGCCCCTTCAGTGTGGCTCTTCCACAAAATACCACGTGCGGGCACGCACGTACAGTGCAATTGAAACTTCGTGGCCCATGCGCAGAAGTCAGCATTTTGTGGAAGAGCCACACTCAAGGGGCCAAAGAGCTGCATGTGGCTAGTGAGCCGCGGTTTGCCGACCACTGGTCTAAAGGATAT